TTTTGTATATTCCTTTGGATTTTCTAAGTATATAGACATGTCTTTTGTAAATATAGACATTTTTATATTTTCCTTCTCAGTCTATCTGAATTTTATTTTTGTCTTATTCTACTGGCTAGGACTTCCAGTGCAATATTAAATAAAAGTGTTGACAGTGGACATCCTTCTCTTCTTCCTGATTTATAGAGGAAAGCATTAATTACTTCCCTTTAACCCCACTGGTGAGGGAAATTCCTGCCTTGGCCTTATGGGAATGGCTGAATACATGACACCTGACATGACAGATGAGATTGAGAGCAGTTTATTAGTCACATATACTCACAGCCCAGGAGAAGATGACATTGTACACCATTAAAGGGCCAAATGGACGTTATACTCAGGAACACAGTGAACAATCAGTAGCTGTAAGAAGCAGGCTTTGTAGTTTCAAAAGGGTTGAGTGCCTCCCTGGTTCCTATGGGAAGATTTAATTGGCTTGTTTGAATACTTCTATGAATTGGTAGGGAACTGAAACCACTCAGGGATAATCAGAAACTATACCTGATCTGTTTGATAAGGAGGGTTTTTTGACTTGGGGACCTTATCTGTGTGATAAGAATGGGGAGGAGAACTTGTGGTTAGGTAATTCCTGGCCCTCCTGTTTTTACTAGATGTGAAGGCAGCATAAAATGTTATTTTTAGGTCTTATACCATAAGCATTCAGTAATTCATTATTAAGAATAATGTTATCTATCTTCTTGCTGAAAAGACCTCTATAATTATGTGATGTCCTCTTTAAACTTTTTAGCAATATATTCTGTTCTGAAGTCTACTTTGATATTAATCTAGCCTTCTTTGGATAAGTGTTTGTACAGTCTGTTTTTTCTTCTGTTTATTTTAACCCATATATATCTTTATATTTATAGTGAACTTCTTGTATACAGCATAGAATTAGGTCTCGCTTCTTTTTTTCCCCCAATTCACTCTGTCAATCTCTGCCTTTTAATTAGAGTGTTTAGACCTGTGCTTTCCAATATGGTAGCTGCCGGCCATATGTGTCTTCTGAGCACTTGAAATGTGGCTAATTCAGATTGAAACATGCTATGAGTGTAAAACACAAACCTGATTTTAAAGACACAGTATGAAAATGTATATAAAATATCTCATTATAATGTTTTGGCCAGGTGTGGTGGCTCACACATATCCCAGCACTTTGGAAGGCCGAATCACTTGACGTCAGAAGTTTGAGACCAGCTGGCCAACATGGTAAAATCCAGATTCTACTAAAAAAAAAAAAAATACAAAAATTAGCTGGGCATGGTGGTCCATGCTTGTAGTCCCAGCTACTCAGCAGGCTGAGGCAGGAGAATCACTTGAAGCAGTGAAGCAGAGGTTGCAGTGAGCCGAGATCGTGCCACTGCACTCCAGCCTCAGTGACAGAGATTATGTCTCAAAACAAACAAACAAACAAACAAACAAAACTATTTGTTAAATATTTCTGAAGGACATAGAAGACTTAAACAGATTTTAAGACATATCATGTACCTGGATAAAAGAACTCAGTATCATAAAGATGTCATTTCTCCCTAAATTAATCTATAAATTTACCACAATTCTAATAAAATAACAGCAACATTATTACTTTTTCTTTCTTTCGTTTTTTGCAATTAGGCAAGCTGATTTAAAATTTTACATGGAAAGAGTAAACAACAATAGCCTGTTTATTGAAGGGCAGAATAACAAGTATGTCCTAAGAACATAAATATTGGATGTGGTATGATTAAGTGGGTGTGGCCACAGGAGTAAATGAGAACAAGGCTCGGAAAGAAGTTTATGCCATGAAGGGTCACGGGGGAAACACCAGGTTTTGGTTTGATGTCAGAACACAGGAGCAAGGGGAAATCCTAGGCCAAAGCCTTTATTGGGATTTCTGTGAGAAATGTAAGGTATAGCAGAGTAAACATTTAGGATTGGCTATTTTGAATATTTCTGGTGGGCTGTGCCTATAGATGCCCATCAGGGGGATCTCTCTTTGGTGCTCCTCCATTTTGCTGAGCATGCCTGCGTCATTGCTCTTACCACATTGTTTAGAAATTAATTGTAAACTGAATTTGTGCACGTTAATCCTTTCTTTCCAGTTAGTTTGTAAACTTCAAAGGCATGGTATTTTTGGTCTGAAAATTACATGAGATAACATAGATGAATTTCCTAGCATAGTTTCAGTCTTTCCTGAGTCTGCTACTTTCTGCCTGAAACTTTGTATAAGTCACTTAAACTCTGTGAGCCTCAATTTCGTCTTCTGTACCAGAGGCTGATATTAATACCAATATCATAATGCTGCTCTGAGAATGAAATGAGTTTGTGCATGTAAAAATATGATTAAAAATTAAATATGGGCCGGGCGCGGTGGCTCAAGCCTGTAATCCCAGCACTTTGGGAGGCTGAGACGGGCGGATCACGAGGTCAGGAGATCGAGACCATCCTGGCTAATACAGTGAAACCCCGTCTCTACTAAAAAAATACAAAAAACTAGCCGGGCGTGGTGGTGGGCGCCTATAGTCCCAGCTACTCGGGAGGCTGAGGCGGAAGAATGGCGTAAACCCGGGAGGAGGAGCTTGCAGCGAGCTGAGATCCAGCCACTGCACTCCAGCCTGGGCAACAGAGCGAGACTCTGTCTCCCAAAAAAAAAAAAAAAAAAAAAAAAAAAAATTAAATATGTATCTCATTCCATTCTGCATCTAACTTACTGGCCAGGCACATGGAAGGTATCATTTTAATAAATGTTTATGGAGGGAGTGGGTGAATCCTACAGGCTATATTTTGCTTGAAAGAACCCACCCTTGTGGGTGGGTGTTTTCTGTGGAGACAGAAATCATAGGAGGTCTCTGGGGGAAACAGACCTCCCAGGGACATATGAATGGTAGCATGGGGAAACCAATTCCCAGGAGCCCATGTGGGGGATACTTTCCCCCCAATTCCCATGCTGTGTTATTTCACACAACAAAAGGGAAGTCTCTGAGGACTCCAGCAGTAGTGAAGAAGTCTATACTCCCACCTGCACTGCTTCCTGAGGAATAGCTGACATAGAGGAGAACTGAACTTGGTCCTGTCAGCAAGCTGGTTTTCCCGACTTTTCATTTCCTCTGCCCAGTAGGCATTTGCCTATCAATTTTGATGAACAAAACTTTCTGCAGTGATGGAAATGTTCTATACATATGTTGTCCAACATGGTAGCCAGTAGCTACATGTAGGTATTGAGTACTTGAAAAGTGCCTACTCTGATTAAATAACTGAGTTCTAAATTTTACTTAAAATTTAAATTGACCAATGTGGTTCAATTTAATAGTGTTATGTTTGTCTCTTTATCCTCGGCGTCTGCACAGAGCCTGGCTCAGAAGAGGCATGGGAGATGTTTGCTTAAGTGAATTATTCTAAACCATGCTAGATTCTTTTATTGGCTGGATTTATACTCATCAAATGCATTTTCATTCATCGCCCTATTTGTGTCTTAGTGCAACTCTTTGTGGTAGGCAGGGCCTTTGTCTGTTTGTTGGAAGAGGAAACTGAGGCTCAATGAGTTTAAATGATTTGCCCAAGATTATAAAGCTATAACGTCAGTCTGAGTAGAACCCACATCTTTCTCTTTATTTTCCATCTCCCTATACTTAATGTAGTTCTTTTGTTCTTCTTAGCCCTTATTGACTCCTCTGACACCGACATTCCCACAACCCTCACAGCCTTTATATAAGTGTCATTAGGACTGTGGAAACCACATATATATTCATCTTGAGAGTTGTGTGGACATGGCTTGTGAATTTTAAACTGTTCAAATGTGAGAGATAATTCTGATAGATATTTTCATGTAACTTTCCGTACAAGATTCTTATCCCTGATTTTAATGCAGATGAATGGATAGTTCCATGCATGTGACCAGTATGTTACTTAGAAGGCATTCTGGTCTGTCTCTGCATTTCTGCCTCAAGGTTTTCTCTCAAACTCTGGAAGTCTGCTCAGCCCTGGCAAGCATAACCAGGAAATGTGAGAGAGTTCAAGCTGGAAGGTGGAGAGTAACCCTCAACCAACGGAGACAGAAATTAGGACATAAATGCCCCAGCCTCCGTGTTCTTCAGTGGGACAATGGCAGGCACACATTCTGCCCTGTTTTTCAGTCTCCAGCAAGATTAAAAATAGTTGTCTACTAAAGCAATCAACTCAACAACACATTTTTCTTAGCGTTTTCCCCCTTCCGTCTTTCACTCTCTCCACCTCACTTCCTTTCAGATTACCACCATGTTCCATTCAGCAGACATTGACTGACATCCTATTTTGTGTCATGCACCACGCTGCACTGTGGAGTATACAAAGATAAGAGATCAACCCTAGGTATCAGAGAGCTCATGGTCGAGAAGGAAACAATGCATAAAGCATTTGGAATACAGGGCATATACAGGGGATTGTGGGAGGCCAGAGCTGGTCAGGAGAGGTAATGTTCTAGCTTGGTCTTAGAAGATAATGGCGCGTCACTACTGAAAGGTGGGAAAGAGCATCCCATATTTACTGAAAAATACATCAGCAAAAGGATAAGTCTTTTCTGGGGTTGAGGGTTGCTGCTGTCGCGGAGGGGCAAGGAGCCAGAACCCTTTGGGCCTCTGTGTGTTTGGGCTGGGGTGGGCACACAGTTGGTTTTCAGTGCATTTCAGTTGAAGACAAGTAACCCAGGCAAGCCAAGGGGAGAAGCTTTGGGAAATCAAGAAACCTGTCCCAAGTCCCCAGAGTTGAGCACCAACCACAGAAAAGCCAGTTTAGCTAGTCTGGGCGGTCAGTACGAGGACCCCGGTAGCCGGAAGGAAAGTGCCATCCCTACAGACCTAGCCCCTGCGCTCTAGGGGTGGCGGAGCCTGCTCACTTGCCAGGATGCGGTGCCTGGGTTGCGGAGGAGCAGCGCCGCGGAGCCCTGGTCCCGGCTAAGGCCCGGGCTCGCGCCGCGGGGGCGGGGCCTTGGACGCACGCTCCTCCCAGGCGTCCCTCCCGCCCTCAGCCGCGCGCTGGCCGCCCGCGCGCCGGCCGCCCGTTGCCCTGGCAACCGTCGTGCCGCGTCTTCCTGAGGGAGCTCCTGTCAGCCCACTGATCCCACCACCCGCTCCCTACTGCCCCGCGGTCTTCGCGTGGGCTCGGAGACTGAGGGACAACAAAAATGGCGGAGGGGAGCCAGACGGCGCCTGAGGCAGGTCTGTGGGGGCGGTCGATCTGGGGAAGGCTGAGGCGGCCAGGCTGTCCTGGGTCTCAGGGAAGAGGGGACTGGGGCATGGTCCTACTCCTGAGGAGGCGCCGCTGTATATTTGCGCGGTGGGTTGTGACCTCAGGGTCAGGGGTCAAGGGTGGCGTGTACCCCTCTGAATGGCGGTCAGGGACCTCGAAGTCAGGGTGGTGGAGGGGAGTGTGGGGGAGTGTGCACACTTCTGAGAGAGCATGGACCCGGAAGGGGCTGGGACCCGAGGGAAGACCCAGGACCCTAATCCTGGGATCACCTGTGGTGAAGGCTAATCCTAGGGCTAGGCTGTGTCATGGAAAGGGTGTACACAGCCCTGTGGGAGCATGGGAGAGATCCCTAAAGTGGCATGATTTGGGCTAGGGGTGGGAGTAGGAGGCTCTGACTCTAAAGAGGGAGGTATACGTGGAAGGTGTGTTACTTTAATATCAGACAGTGCCATGGAAAGGAGAGTTAGAGTGTTTGTGTTTGGGGATGTGCGGTGTCCTCAGGGTCACCCCTGGTCACAGAGAAATTTATGCAAATAATCCTTGTATAGGTCCTTAAAAAAACAAGAGGCCTTGAGGGGATACCCAGAGCCCCAGTCCTTTAGGAGCCTAGCAAAGGAGGCTGGAGCTGAGTGTGAGAGTATGTGGGTTCAGTGATCTTGAAGGTCATTCAGAATCAAAGGAGTGCATGTCCACACTTCTGTGGGTGGAACATAGCCTTTAAGGGACAGGGAGACTGACAAGAAGAGAGACCCAGGATCCTCTTCCTGAGGGGACCTCTTGTGCATATGGCTGGGCTTTGTGAGATACTGACTTTAAGTGTCTCACAGGGTCATAGAAGAAAGCAAAGGTTTTTACAGTTTTGAGTATATGGGAGGGAGTTTGACTCTAAATAAGGCTGACCACTGAAGAAGTGGATGTTATGGAATGACATGGGTGTGTGGGTAGAAAAGCAGTGGCTTTGGGGATGTGTGTGTGATGGGTATTGGCAGTGGTATACATAACCTTGTATATGTGTCCTGATCGGGTATTATCATTACAAGAGTGATCCACTTGAATTACTTCGGTCCTGGGGTGTGTGTGTGTGTGTGTGTGTGTGTGTGTGTGTGGTTATGGTACATACACACACCAGAAAATGGAACTGAAAACTATGGCACCCTCAGAAATGGTTCAAGGAACCATTATCTCTCAAGACCTTCATTATTTCCCTTTCTTTCATGGCATCTCTGTTTTATTGAGTAGCTCCTATACTCATTTTATAGTTTTAGCTCCCTCATAACTTTATTCATTCATCCACTCAACAAATATTATTGAGTGCTAACTATATGCCAGGCAATAAGTTAGGCACTGGGAATTTCCCTGCTTTGGATTAGCTTACCTTGTCCTTTTTTCCTTTTTTTCTCATAGCATTTATTGCCTTTGAACATACTATTTAATTTACTTGCTTGTATTATTATTTCCTGTCTCCTTCCACTACAGTGTAAGCTCTACAAGGGCGTTGTTTTATCAATACCACGTGTCTAGAACTAAGTGTTTAGTATGTTCTCTATAAATATTTCTTAAATGAATAACTGAATTACTAATATTGTCTGTAAGTGATATTTTAGCTGACATATGATGGGGATTGGATAATTTAAAAAAAGAGCAAACAGTAGTCCAGGCAGCAGGAAAACCATGTGCAAAGAACCCAAGACAGGGCCGGACGTGGTGGCTCACTACGCCTGTAATCCTAGCACTTTGGGAGGCCGAGGCGGGTGGATCACAAGGTCAGGAGATCAAGACCATCCTGGCTCACATGGTGAAACCCCGTCTCTACTAAAAATACAAAAAATTATCTGGGTGTAGTGGCACACACCTGTAGTTCCAGCTACTTGGGAGGCTGAGGCAGGAGAATCGCTTGAACCTGGGAGGCAGAGGTTGCAGTGAGCCAAGATCGCGCCACTGCACTCCAGCCTGGGCGAGAGAGAGAGACTCCGTCTCAAAAAACAAAACAAAACAAAACAAAACAACAACAAAAAAACCCAAGACTGGTGGAAACATGTTATGCTGTGTTTAAGGAACTGAAAGGAGACAAGTGTGGGTATATGTGGGGCAATGGGAAGAGAGAAGAGGTATGCTGAAGCCAGATCTTCCAGTATTTTGTAGACTATGATATGAATTTGGGTCAGAAATCTTAAGAATAATGGGAAGCCATCGAAGGCTTTTAAATGGAAGCATGCCATGATTAGAATAATTAAAAAACAACTCTGGCTACAATGTGGAGAGTACAGAGGATACAAGAGTAGGTATAGGATATCCTCTTCACCAGCTACAGTGAGGAGAGTACAGAGGATACAAGAGTGCATACAAAGAGACCTTGGAAGGTAGCAGTGGAGATGAAGAGAAGGAATTGAGAAATACTTAGGAGCTACAATTAATAGGACTTAGTGAAATATGAGGATGATGGAGAAGGAAGTATCAAAGACTACTTCTCATTTTCTAATTTGTGCAACTGGATAGTTAGTGGTGCCATTACTGGGATAGGGAGCATTGGAAGGGGCTTTGGGTAGGTGTGAGAGGAAAGATCATGAATTTGGTTTTAGACTATGTGGAGATTGAGGTATCTTTAGGACATCCAAATAAGTGGAGAGATTGACAAGCTGGTTGTATTTACAAGAAAAGTAGAAACTGGCATAGAGATAATTATTTTGACATAGAAATAATTACTCAAGCCATGGGTGTGGATGAAATTGCCTAGAGGGAGAAGAGGCCTGGGATGAAGTGTTGAGTAGCTGCAATATTTCAATGCCTCCCAAAGAGACTGAGAAGGTTCAACTGGAGAGATTAGAGCACAACCAAAGGAATGTTTCAAGAGAAACGGAATACTCAGTAGACTGAATACTGCCAAGCGATACAAAATGAAGGCTAAAAAACTAGATTTAGCAACAGAGAGGTCATTGGTAACATTGACAGTAGAAAACTGATGATGGTAAAAAGACAGGTCATTTAGGCGAATAAATGCCTCAGTCTTTGTTTAATTCAAGTTTCTGAGAGAGAGAATTTTATTGACCCTCCTTGTCTTTTACCACTAAATCACTGTCCAGTTTCAGGATTGACTGGTTTTAGATTAGGTGTGCAGCTATTGCTGGCTGGAGTCCCCTGATACAAAATATGGCCATCTGGTAATTTCTTATCTCACTTGAAATAGCCAACATTTATGAAGTGTTTGTTTTGTACCATGCATTGTACTAAGTGTTTTATACATTTTACTTCAGTCTCATAACAACTCTCTAAGTTGTCTAAGGTTTTCTCTGTGTTTTATATGTGGAGAAGTTTTGGCACAGAGAAGTTGACAACATAATTAAGATCTGCAAATAATTAGTGGAAGATTAGTTTTTTTGACAATTTGAATATTATCCAGATTCATTATTTGGCTTTGTGTTTGTATTACAATATACCACTTTCTGAAGAAATCATAGCCATGATGAAAATTCCTGCCTTACAGGAAATATTCTACACTAAGCATATTCTAATAAGGTGAAATGGAAAGAAATGGGCTTAGATCCTTGTATAAACCCTACTTCTGTGACTTATTATATGTGGACCTTGGACTCGAGTTTTCTGATCTTCAGTTTCCTCATTTGTATAATGGGGATGATATTTGCAGGATAATTGTGAATATTAGATATCATGTACTTGAAGTGTCCAATAAATGTTATGTCCTTAGTTCACTTGTAGCTTGAATATAAAAAATTCAAATTTATTGCATATACTTTACATATAAAAGCAATTATATAAACATACAATGATGAATATAAGAAATTCTATTTTTTCTTCATTGGTTTTTCACTGCTTTGCTATCAGAAGAAAGACAGACATTAAGTTTTGGAGAATGTAGAATTGTTACCTGAACTATGTATCATAGGACCGATCTCTGTGTGAAGTAGATTTTGAGGAATTTCTTGGAGGAATGAAGGGACACTTAAGATATCTTAAGCATGGTTTTATATGTAAAGTATATGCAATACATTTGAAATTTTTTATATCCAAGCTTTTTACAGAGCATGTAGATAGCTCTGTAAGAGGGTCAGATTTACAAAAGGAAGTTTCTTCTTTTAAATGTTGTGCTTTAAAATGGGGACACAAATGTCAGGACTCTTCTTTTTCCCTATAAATTTGATTATCAATACTAATAAAAAAGAAAACCTTACAGTTAGTTACATGTTGGAGTATTAGTCTCATGCAAGATTGCACCTGCTTCTTTTTCTTAGCTTCTTCTCCCTCTGTTGCAGCTATTATAAAAAAAGCTTTTATTTTAATTACCTGGTAAAATAATTTGTTTTTCTATTTTGTCAAATTATTTTGTGGAGGCCCTGGTAGACAAACATTTTTTTAAATGATGCAGTCTGTTAAAATGGACCTTAATCACTCTCTGTGAAATAAATGGGTCTATTTCAAAAAGCAGTTCTATATGAATCTGAAACCAATTATAGGCAGAATGTTGAAATTGTAAAAAGCCTTAGAAATGAGAATATTGTTTAATAGCTTGTGTTAGTGGTTGGACAAAGTAGTAGTTAAGCCTTTTTTGTTTTAGTTTCTGTATTTGTTAACTGGGGATGATAACAGCTACTTTTAAGGTGAGAATTAGAGATAAGTTATGGAAAGTATACAATGTCTTACACCCCCAAAGAAATGATATTTTAATTGATGTGTGTGTGTGTGTGTGTGTGTGTGTGTGAGAGAGAGAGAGAGAGAGAGAAAGAGAGAGAGAAAGATAATATTTTTTTTCCTAAAGGCACAGTAGAAAATCACCTTTAAAAGAAGAGGAAATTCAGGTCTGCAGTCCCTTATCTGGCAGGTTTGGATGCAAATATATTTCAGAACTCAAATTTCTTTTTATTATGGAAAGGCAATACTGCATATATACTGTCGATTGCATAATACCCCCAATGGGGTATGAGATAGTACGGTGTAATCAAACACATCAATATCA